GTACATAACTTGGTCAAAGTCACACTGCTAGTAAATGACAGAACTATGATTTAAGCCCAGGACACTGACTGCAGGCCCATGTTCTCACCCCCTGCACTGCCTCCCTCATACAAGGCTGAGGAGCTTCCTTCTGGGCTATTTTTGATGGAGACATCGGTGAGTCTGAGGAATGACCTGACTCCCTCTAAAGCAGTGAGATGAACAGCAGCCCAGACTCTCAAGAGTGAAGTTGCCCCAGCTCACCCCCTAGGTTTGAAAAGGGAGAAGGGCAGATGCTGATGAGGCTGCTGGGGAATGCACACAGCTGATCCTCCCAGTCCCTCCTAACATCTGCTCCTGGTTGACCACATGCCTGGCTTCCTGCAGAGCTTTCTAACTGAGAAGGAAGGAGAAGAAACTTCCAACCTCATATTCAGACAGGTCCAGGCATGGAATGAGAGCCAAGAGGTAGAAATTTAGGGAGGTAGTTTCAATCCCAAGTCACTGCCAGAGCCACCAGCTGAGCTGCAGGTTCCTATGTTGGATGCAGGGAAAGAACCTGCCCAGGGATTCCAGTATCCTAGCAACCCACACAAGAGCCCAGATAGACATAGATCCCAGGACAATAGATGCAGCCCAACTGCGCCAGGGACAGGGAGAGACTGGTGGGTGCAAAGATGAGGAATTATGGAAGGCTTCCAGGATGAGGGAAATTTGGTGCAGACATGGGAAGGAGAGGCAGGAATGAAGTGGGATTTCAGGCTGAGAGTAAAGCCTATTACAGGCAATTACCCAGGAAACAGGGGAACACAGTGGCTCTTTATGATAGGCACTGAAGTGCAAACCACACGGTCAGCAATTTGAGCCCACCAGCCTCTCTGTGGGAGAAAGATGAGACTTTCTGATCTCACAAAGATGTACAGTCCCAGAAAGCCTCAACAGGGTTGCTACGAGTTGGAACCAACTTGGCAGCACTCAGCAATAAAACACTAGTAGGGAAGAAGCTGTGAGAGTTGCTAACATCTGTGGAGATGCAGGGAGATGGAGAACATCCCAGAGAACACACTGGGGCTTCAAGGAATACTTCGGTAAGCTAATTAAGGTCAAGAGTGAAACGCAACTTGATCCTACTTAAACAACCACCAATATTTTACAAATTGCTTTCTGGGGAGAATAGGCTGGAGAGCTGTACACCTTTTGTTTTCTAGGTGAAGTATGCAACCTCAGGGGCAGAAGTGAATTGCTGGAAGAAACATCAGAGATGCTGTACATTGCCACAGGGGCACTTGGTCTCTGCCTTTCAGCCTCTCCTCTAAATGCACTTTGAATGATACTTAATTAAGACTATTGCTGAGAATTAATACTAAATGATTAACCTGCATGGAGCACTTCTGTCCAGAAGGGTCAAGCTAAGGCTGATAGGTGAGAGATGGGACTTCGATAGCACCTATAGCAGGGAACAATGGGGATGGAACTGGAGAAAGGGCAGACCATAGAGACATCTCACCTCAGGTCCCTAATCCCAAAAACAAAACAAAAAAAATTGCTGTTGAACCAGTTTTGATTCATGGGACCCTCTGTGTGTTAGAGTAAATAGATGATTTTTTGGAAGTAGATCACAAGGCCTTTCTTCCAAGGTGCCTCTGGGTGGACTTAAACTGCCAATCTTCCGATTAGTAGCTGGGCACCATCAAAGGGCTTCTTCCCTGGGTGTCAGAATTAGCCACAGGAAGCCTTTGGCCCTTGTGGTCAGGCACTCAGAGAAGGGAAATCTGACCCTCCTGAGTTGTAGTTATGTGCCATGGAGTCGGTTCCGACTCATAGAGACCTTGTACTGGGTTTCAGAGGCTGTAAATCTTTACGGGAGCCGAAAGCCTCATCCGTCTCCCACAGAACAGCTGGTAGTTTCAAACTGCTGACCCTGAGGTTCGCAGCCTGATTCATAACCACTACGCTACCAGAGCTCCTTGACTCTTCTGTAACAGAGTAGAAGGCATTATGACGGAAGTGGTGGGAGATACACTGTGCGTCTTAGGAGGGCAGGGCCTGTATTAAAACACTGCCTTCCAGAGAAACCCAAGTCCTAGCACAGTGATTGAAGTACATTTGCACTCAATACAATTTGTGGGGAGTATGGAGAGCAAGGTGTGGCACTGTAAGATAAGTACTGGACTACAAACCACAAGGTTGGCTGTCCAAGCCAACCAGCCACTCCTCGGAAACCCTATGCAAGGTTGCTAGTCTCTTTGAGTTGGAACTGATGGCACTTAACAACATGGAAGGTTGAGACAGAAGGAAGAGAGAAAGAAAAGCTTTCCTTGAGAGGACTAGGTGCTGCTTCCTTCACAGGAGAGTGAGAGAAATGGAGGAGAGAAGAAAACAAAGCCCCCTGGTTCCAAACTCCAGACTCTAGTCATGGACCTGAGGCCTCCCACTTCCCCCCTCAAACACAATAATTGGCCTATTGCTTTGAATCAATGCTAAATTATCAACCTGAGTGAGCCACCCCTGTCCAGGAGAAGGCTTCTGAGATGAGAAATGGGAGTGAGGTAAGGAGAACCAGGCTTGCTGCAGGAGAGTAATGTTAAAAATCCCCTAGTGACTCACAGTACCAGGGAAATCTCTCAGAACCCCACTAGGAAGGAGAACACTGTATGGGAACTCCACCCTCCTCCCCGACTGGCCAAGCCCATTCAGGAGTTGGTCCAGCTCTCCCAGTTGGAGGCTGGGAGAAGAAGAGAAGATGAGGCAGGCTGGCTGGTGACTGGAGTGCTGGCCACTCCACATCTTGACTGAGGTCAGCTGACAAGTAAGATGGGCAAGCGTTCAAAGCAACTGACAAGATGTTCTGGTAGAGGGACAAAGTGTGACTTTATTGATTTTGCAAAATCATACTGGGCTGGCTCAGGCTGTGTGCAGTGGAGACAGAGTTGGCCTGCTCCATCACCCTGGTGATTGGTTCAGGAAGGAGGTGGGAACAGGCCCTGCCAGCTCACTCAATATGTGATGGACGTCTTCAAAGTTGACTCCACCGTCTTCTTCAGGATGGTGTGGCAGCTGGATCTGGAGCTAGAGCCACAGCCAGGGCCAGAACCGGACACAGAGCAGGAACCCAACACAGAGCCCTTCCCAGAGTCCAGGATGACATTGGAGCCTCCAGTCACAATGCTGGAGCAACTGGTCCCACAACTGCCCTTCCAGCCTCCAAGTCCACAAGTGCCCACCAGCTCTCCACCTCCAGACACTTTGGTGCTGCCTCCCACAGCAGCTGCAAAAAAAAATGCATCTGGGTTACAATAGGGTCCTTATCTCCCCACAAGGACCCCTCTCCCCAAGTCCACTGATACTCACAGATTATGACTTGACTGGTACACTCCCCAGACATCCTGGAGGAGAAAAAACAAGAGGAGGAAACTCTTAGAAAGGCTGCAGAAGAGGCACCCCCCAGGTGCTTGTAAGTCTCCGAGTAGCTCCTCTCCCTGCTCAGCTAGTGAAGTCTACAATCCCCAAAGTAAAATCCTTCCCTGCCCAGCTGGTTGCCCTAGTGACTCACAGTGTCAGAAAGTCTATCAGACCCCCCCTTTGGTAAGAGAGTGCTATGTAGGGATTTCATCCTCCTCCCCCCAGTTTTCTGGAGTCACTGTCCTATATCCAACCCTACCCCACCCCTCCAATCTGCCCCACCTGCACTCCTCGCCCTCCAGCAGTCTCCGATAGGTGGCAATCTCCACGTCCAGGGCCAGTTTTGTGCTCATCAGCTCCTGGTAGTCCCGAAGCAGGCCAGCCAGATCCTGCTTGGTCCTTCTTAGAGCAGCCTCCAGCTCCTCCAACTTGACCTGAGCATCCTTGAGGGCCTGCTCCCCACGCTGCTCTGCATCAGCAATGGCCGACTGCAGATTGGCATTCTGGGTGGGGTGGGGGTGGAAATGAGGAATATAACCTTGCAAAATATTTACTATGGATGTAACTTGAGGGCTGGGATGGATCATAATCTCATGGGCCTTAAATTACCTATGCCCCTGCCCCAGGTACCTCTTCTACTGCCTCACTGCCCTTGCTACCTCCTGAGGTCATCTCCCCTATTTCTTCCCATCCCCAGCCCTCAGCACTGCATCCGAACATCTCACAAGTTACTTAAAGCTCTTGCTGTACTATATGCACAATGGTCTACCAGTCTCAAGAGACTCTTGGTATTTTTTTGGGCAGCCCACATTTCAAATATCTTGTCCTGTTATCAAGTCATGTCAGATCATATGCCTCAATTTCTGTTGTTGTTTGTTTTTTTGTTTGTTTTTTTTTTGTTTTGTTTTGTTTGTAAATGCCATCTCTGGACCTATCTCTCCAATCTGACAGAAAACTCCAGAAAAAAGACAAGATCCCTGCCTAGTCAGACATAGACTTGTATGCCATTCTCTTTCCTTCATACCTGGCTCAGGAAAGTAGGCATTTCCTAAAAGGACCCATTATTTTATTCTCACACATGTACCCTGTGGGTGAAGACCATCCTGAGCAGTTCACAGAAGAACAAACTGAGGCTCAGAAAAGTTGTGAGTGGCAGAGCTGGGTCCCTAAGCCCTCATAATTGATGTCCAGACCACTGCTCTTCCCACAGCCTGCAGCCTAGCACAAGGGAACCCAGTTTACGTCTGTACGTGAAAAGGAAAAGTAAGGGGGCAGCTGTCTTCTCACAGGAGAGGCTCGTTACTGTGTGTGTGTGTGGAGTTGAGAATCCCAGATGTGAGTACATTGTACCAGGTAAGCAGTTACAGTCCAGTGAATTCTGACTCCTAAGAATCCTATGTGTTTCAGAATTGTGTTCCATAGAGTTTTCAATGGCTAACTTTTTGGAAGTAGATCACCAGACTTTTCTTCCAAGACACCTCTGGGGTGCACTCAAACCTCAATTCTTTCTGTTAGCAACCAAGTGCATTAGCCATTTGCACCACCCAGGGACTCTGAGTACATGGTGGACACTCCTAAGTACTGGTACAGTGGCTCTAAAGCCTCCATGTGCTTCAGAATCACCTGGGCGAACTTTGTTATAAAAATAGGTTTCTGAGCCTCATCCTTAGAGATTCTGATTCCCTAGGTCTGGTAGCAGGTTCCAGAATCTGCATCTTAACAAGTGTCCCAGAGGATTCCAAACAAGGGGTCCAAATTTATTTGAGAAACACTGTAGCAGCAAATTGAGAAATAAGACCCAGTCACCTTCACCAGATTCCAAAGAAGAACAGGTAAGGATGGTTCCAGATTACATCTGACCTTTAAATGATGTGCTCTGAGAACTTCCTGATGCAGTAGGAAGGGTCTTGTTTGGGAGTGAACCAATCGCAGATGGCTGGAGTGCTTGAGGAAAGCCACCTAACTCTTGTCTCGTCTCTCAACCCTCTGTTGATTCCCAAATACGTTATTTGCATTTGGGGGCTATGAATATAAAAATACTTGATAACTAAAGAATTTATAATCCTTCACATCTGCAAATGAGGTTTCCATGAGGAGCAGGAAGCCCCCTGCCCGCCCTTGCTATCCTCTCCCTCCACCTATCTCTCTTCCTCCCCATGCTAGGAACCAACAGCATTACTCCAACTTGTGCACAGCATCTCCTAAGGGGAGATCACTCACCCACCCCTCACTGCCCATCTTGCTTGCTCTTTGAGGTTCTGGCTCTCACCTTCCCCAACAGAAAAAGAAAGAAAGAAATCAGTTGCCATCAGGATGATTCTGACTTGTGGTAACTCCATATGTTTCAGAATAGAACTGTAGTCCATATGATTTTCAAGGCTGTGACCTTTCAGAAGCAGATCGCCAGGTTTTTCTTCCAAAGTGCTTCTGGGTGGGTTCAAACTACCAACCTTTCAGTGAGTAGTCAAGGGCTTAACCAGGGGCTCTATCCTTATAAGTGATTCAGAGTCTGACCTAAAAGTCCCTCTGAGCTTGAGGAACAGGAGTCAGAAGAAGAGATAAGGAAAGAGATTAATTAACCCTTTCCCCAAGAAGTCGAATGTAAGATATGTACATGGACATGGATTCCAACGTAAATGGTGCCCCTTGGGATTGTGGCACCATTGGGGGAAAACAAAATGCAGGCTAGAACTTATAGGGAAGAAAATGGAATTCATCCTAAATGGGACTTGAAATACTCTCCCCTCTAAATTATCCAAATGACCAGTCAGTTACTATGTATTTTATTCCCAAACCAGGGGCATTTGGAAAGAGAGAAACTAGGAAGTAGAGAAGGGGTTGAAGAACTTGAGTCATACAAGGATAGGGAGTTTGGAACCTTACCTGTTTCTTGAGGTTCTGGATCTGACTCTGCAGCCTCTGAATCACTTGGTGCAGGTGGGAGATCTGGGTTTTGGTTTCCCTCATGCTGTCCCCATGAAGCTGGGCAGATGCCTGGAGCTCTTGGTACTGGGCGAGGAGCAAAGGCGATCCCATTAGTTGAGATGACCCCCCACCTTTGACCCTAAGACTGGAAGACAGCCTGTTCTCAAGTCTTTTCCTTCTTATATCTTCATCTTCAGCATAGGTTAAACCCCCGAGACCAGAAAATAATGGAATGTGCTTTTGCAAGTCTAAACTCTTTTCTCTTGGTGGCATGGTTTCCCTGTGTGGCCTTCCACCTAGGTAGGTAGGAAATGGTCACCCCACACAGCCCAGGACTTTCAATATATTGTTAGAACTACGCCAATGGAACTGAGATGGATGCCCACCTAAGGTGTGGGCATGGAGATCCAACCTATTCCAGCATAGTATTGCCCCTCAGGTCTCACACCTTAGTCTGGTACAATGCTTCAGCCTCAGCCTTGCTGGTCTGAGCGATGTCCTCATATTGGGCACGGACCTCAGCGATGATATCACTCAAATCTAGGCAGCGGTTGTTGTCCATGGACAGCACCACGGATGTGTCACTGACCTGAGTCTGCAGCTGGCTCAGCTCCTGCAGGAAGGATTGGATCAGTGTCCACCACCCCTTGGAGCCCTGGAAAGTGGACAGGATGCCTACCCACACTCTGACAGGGGTGCAGCCCTCATCCATGGTATTCATGTATGGTATTGAGCATCCCCTGCCCTCTGTGGGTCTCAGTGTCCTCATCTGAAAAGGAGGGCTATAGGAGGTGAATAGTTGTCAAGGCCTTCTATCACCTAGTCCCCCTACTTCTCTGCCCTCAGATCACTCTCCTCGTGGCCACCCCCTACTCCTACTGCACCCGCTACAATGGCCTCCTTGCATTTTTTCAAATATACCAGGCTTCCTCTTAACTCTGGTCTTTCACTAGCTGCTTCCTCTCCTTGGAGTCCCCAGATACTCTCCTGCATTGCTGGTTTCCTTGTCACTGGACTGCAAAGTCGGTTTGAACTACAGGGTCAGTGGTTCAAACTCACCAGCTGCTCCTCAGAAACCCTATACAGGGTCTCTATGAGTTGGAACCGTACTTAACAGCCACAACAACAAAGAAGGTCTAACCTGACCACGTTTTTGAAATTGCCACCTGTCCTCCACCCCTCCCTTCATGCCCAATTCTCCTTTTCCTATCCTAATTTCTCTTTGTTCTATACCTTTATTATCTTCTAGCAGATTCCAAAATTTACCTGTTTATTAAGTCTATTTCTTATCTCTCAATAGAAAATGAGTTTCATGATTTTTGTCTGTTACTACTTATTGAGGAGACCTGGTGTGGCACTGTAGGATAAGCACTAAACTGCTAAACACAAGGTTGGAGGCTCAAACTCATCAGCCACTCCTCAGAAACCTAAATAGGGCCTCTGTGAGTCAGAATTGACTCAACAGCACTTAACAGCAACTACTTATTGATGTCTCTCTTGTACCTAGAAATCCACATATTAGCCAAGCCGCTGACCCAGACTCATGGTGACCTCATGTGTGTCAGAGTAGAACTGTGCCCCATAGTGTTTTCAATGGGTGATTTTTTCAGAAGTAGATCTCCAGGACTTCATTCTGAGGTTCCTCTGGATGGGCTCAGATTAATGCCGTCAAGTGCATTAACCATTGGCACCACCTAGAGATTCATATAGTAAGTACTCAAAAACTTTACCAACTGACCACTGGGGATCTAAGTCACCCTAAAGGTTCTGTCTCCTGGTCAGTTTCCCACCTTGGCCCCAGGGACCCATCCTGCCCTCACCCCTCACTCCTGCCTGCCCTTGGCAAATCCTCACTTCTTCATACAGACGTCTCAAGAAGCATATGTACTCTCTCAGAGTCTCCAGCTTGCCTTCCAACTCCATCTTGCTCAGGAAGACCTCATCCGCATCCTGGTGACAGAAAGACAAACACTGTGTACCCCTCACTTTCTTTTAGTCGCTCTAGCTCTCTGGTTTGGGAATTCTGTTCACCCACTGCCCCACCCCCATCTTGGAGGTCCATTCATTAATCTTCCTGCCCAATCCTGCCCCATTCTCCTTTCCCTAACAATGCCCCATCCCTAACATCAGGAAGCCTCACTTGATAAATCCCAACTAGTCCTTCTTCCCTTCCTGCCCTAGCTACCCAGAGCTCATCACTCTGCCCCTCAGTTGTGTTTTGTTTTGGAGTCTTGGTATCTGGGTAGATGTCCATTTCCTGGGTGCTCCCTACATCCATAAGGGTCTACCACTCTCTGCCCCCTCTCCAATCTAGACCTGGACGTTTTGCACAGTGGGAGCTCAGGACCAGAGGGGAGTGTCTAGCTCCCACCCTCACCTTTTTGAGGACCATGAAGTCATTCTCGACTGTAGCACGTGTGTGGGCCTCTTGTTCATACCTGCCAAATGAGGAGAGAATGGCCCAGTCTGAGATGCTGGTCTCAGAGTCCATGGCCCTTCCTGAAAGCAAGACATTCCAGCAGAAGCCACCTTTCCTCCAACTTTCCTTGGAGGGATTTCTTCTTATGTCCTACTTAGGTTTCTTAGTGACAGTAAATCTACATTATGTCAGTGTTTAAGTGGCACATACAATACCTTTTCTCACTTGCCATTCACAACCACAGTCTAAGGTAGAAAGTTAGGATTTTACCCGAGTAGCTGATATGACTTGCCCAAGATCCCATAGATGACCATGGGATCAAAGCAAACCTAGCTCCAATCTTGGTCTGCTCTTAGGGGCCACCCCACCTCATAGTTCATTTTCCCAATAGCCCTAGAAGCTAACAACAACAGGTGACATTTTCCCAGTTTACAGATGTGAAAATCAAGGTTGGGAGAGGTCAAGCAGCTATTCCTTCCTCGTAGTTGCCCAAACCTAAGCTTCTTATGAGTCCAGGACTCTCTCCACACATCAGATGACCTAGGTAAGGAGCTCAGAACCACAGCCCAGTTGTGAATCATAGCATTGGCCTGGGGGTGGTCCCACTAAATGGATTTCCTTCCACTCCAGACACCACAGACAATCTGAGTCACATTGGATCACAGCCTGCTGAACAGGAATTTCTCAAGAAAAAACCCACCAAGCACTGTTGAAATAAGCCCTTCCCAGTCCTAACCAGAAACCAGGGCCTTTGGAGCAAGGGCTTTTGGGAACTGATCGGCAGCCCAATGGAGAGTTTCCATAGCCTTCTTCTAAGTCTTTCGATCTGCACAGGAGGTTGCAGGGCCTCCTCGCTTTACCTGCAGCAGCTAGGGCATTCCGAGAGTCAGGGGTAATGGGACTGCAGGAAGAGGCTTGAGGGGCAGCCAGTCCTGTTTCTTGGGGAGCTTAGCATGGGGGTAACATTGGCTAACAAACCCAATCTGAGTCTTCTCAGATGTTTCCCAAACCCCATGGCAAAATGCTGGGAACATGGCCTACTTTGCCTTATATTCCTCCTCCTGGTCCTGGTAGGTCTTCAGCTCAGCATCTAGAGTTCCTCGTTCTCTCTGGAGCAGCTCCAACTGCTTCCTGAGATGGGCCAGGTAGTCCTCAAAGAAAGATTCCAGGCTCTTGGGGCTGTCACTCACCCCTTGCTGCTGGAGCAAGTGCCACTTGGTCTCCAGCACCTTGTTCTGCTGCTCCAGGAACCGCACCTATAGGCCAAGCAGAGGATTCATAAGGCTCTCGTGGGACCCTCCAATCAGTCCCTTTTTTTTTCTACCTCCCAACCCAGCCTGGGTAGATGGTGCATCTTCCCTTCCATGAGACTTTAGCACATCTAACAGATTGGAAAGATAAATGCTGAGACCCAACCATAGAGCAACTGGACCTTGACATAACAAAAGAGACTTCAATTAAACTGTAGCGGGGACTTCCTGGCTGCAGAAGTGATAAGAAAAGTAGTAAAGGAGGCCAGACTTCTCCACTCCCAAGTCCATCAAGAATGATGTCTCTGAAGGAAGCACAAAGACAGAAGCTTGGCCCTCACCTTGTCAATGAAAGAAGCAAACTGGTTATTCAAGGTTCTAATCTCTTGGGTCTCCTGGGTCCGTACGGTCTGGAACTGGGAGTCAATCTCGAACTTCAGTGGGGTCAGCAGATTCTGATTGATGGTCACCTCTTGGATGCCCCCTGGAGGACATAAGGAAATCCCAGGCCCACGCAGCCCCTCTCCAAACCACATCCCCAGCCTTCCTCCTGACCCCCAGGTCCTCCCACAGGAGGCCCTTTGGCACCCCCTAAAGGAACTAAGGCTCCTGCTACTGAAGCTTCTCCTGGCCTGGCTTCCTGATCTAGCAGAACAGGCTGAGCGAGCACTGAAGCCCCCCTGGGCCCTGCATGGAGAGAGAGACATGGCAGGGACAGATAGTCTCGCAGATGTAGGCAAACAGACAGATTATTAAGGTGTGTGATTTCCTGTCCTGGGGCCTCAGCACAAGACTTTTATCCCCTCCCGTGCCTGGGCTGGGCCTTGGAGAGCAAGATGCTCTTGGTCTGAGTGTGCCTGGCACTCAGCTCCAGCTGACCTATCCTGACACACACTCCCTGACCTCAGAGGTCTCCCAGCTATGTGCAAAGCCCAAGGGAGAAGGAGCCCCAGACATTGTCCCTGGAACTCTCAAAGACAAGGAAGCAATCAGAGACATGTACATGAATGCTGGAAATGTGAGGGATGGTCTTGGGCAAAGCTACCAAGATTGGTTCAAAAGAAGGCTTCCTGCAGGAGTAGAGAGAAAGACAGGAGGCACATATGAGACAAGAAAATAGAGGAGATTCAAAGGGAGCCTCAGAAGTCCTTGGAGATGCTGGACAGGAGAGAAAGAAGCTTCTCAAAGAAGAAGCTGCCTACAAGAGTTCAAGAAGGAAGGCACATTGCAGCGTTACAAAGCAAGGAGGTCAAGAGAGCTATTATCAACATCATTAGCTGAAAGACACTCCAGGATTTGGAAATGAAACAGAAAAACAAGCTGTTGAAGTCCCTCCTTTTGCCCAACCCAGCAATCATCCATGAGACACCACCCCAATCACACCAGGCTCTCCATCTAGGATGGCCTAGTACAGAGTGTCTCCCAGCCCAGCCTGTCACTGCTCATTTCACAGACACACAGACTCTAGGCCCATCTACCTGGAGTTAAGCATTGTGTGTATTCAGTGACAAGCTAAAGGCACCCAGGCTCAAATATGAAATGTTTATTTAGAAAAACACTCTGTTGACAGACTGGGAACAGGAACATGAAATTTGAGGTTCCATACCAGAAAGCTTCAGGGCTATTGAATGTGAAGGAGCATGCTATAATTCACCTAATGTTCAATACAACCTCCCATACAAGGAGGAAGTCATTCAGTAGTTCAACTCCTGAACTGCTACGAGCAGAGCTGGCCACCTCTAATCTTTAGAAATGTCTGTAAATTCTTCCTTACAAAGTAGGAGGCTATTTCTCCCAGCCCCACATTTTTCTAGAACCTAGTACACCCTAAAGTTCAGATACTGGAGGAAGGCGTCCTATGATACTGTGTCTCAAAGCAAGGACAGAGAGACTAGCAGAATAAAAACACTTAAAGAATATGCTATGAGGAAGTTCATCTCAGTAATGTGAAAAATCTGATAGATACTCCACCCTAAGACCAGACAGTAGTATTTCCCCTCTCTTCATAGGATTAGAAACCCCTTCCTCCTTCCCCTTAGCCCCATCAGGCAGCAAAGTTGAATCAAACTGGACCACAGATGACCTCAAGAAGAGACAGGGCCTTTGGCAGGGAGAACAAAAGGGTTCAAACTGAGGGGCCAGATGAGGAAAGAGGAAGAGAGAAAAGAGTCAAGAAGGAAAGTCAGGTGCCCTCAGGAAGGGAGGCAGCCAACAACAACCCTGGAGTCTACCACAAGGATCTGGGAAATGGGCTATCACCGAGGACTCACCTCCAAGCCCGACCACCTGACAGAAGCAAAATTTTGTGCAATCCTCCTGGGTTCCAACAATGTGCTTGAGATTTCTGTGGCCTGGGTTCTACTGCCCCTCCCTTCCAGTATTGAGGGTGGAGGACAGAGGTCACACAGGTGACGGGGCCAAATCTACCTCCATGGAGTTTCCCCATATTTGTAATTCTATAATATTAGAATATTAGAGTCAGAAGGGAGCTTCTGGGTTATCTAGTCCAATGCTCTTGTTTAACTCTTAAAGACTGTGAAGTCCTCTAGGGTGTGGAACAGAGTGTAAAGATGGGGCACCTTGGGTAACCTAAGAGATTGCACCAGATGACCTCTCAGCTTGCTTTGGCCCATCTCTCTATGATCTGAGAGACATGTCCAAGACCACCCACACAGCTCATTAGGACTGGAACCACGACCCCCATACAGCTCAGACTCATGCCCATGGAGGAACCCAAAGTGAGCCTTCTCCTTCTTCCAGATGCCTATCCTTAAAACTTCCCAAGACAACCACATCATCCTTGATCATAATGGTCATAAAGACAAGCTCACTCTACCACTCCATCCAGCTCAGGGTCTGCCATATACTAAGTGTCGGTAAGTAGTTTTTTAAGAGATGAATTCTTATCCATGAAATTATACCCAGGGACTTCCTTGAATTCTCATATTTCTACATTTTGCTGTAATATATTTTAAAAAATAAACAAAGAGTTGCCACTCAGTTGATTCTAACTCATAGCACCCACATGTATATCCGAGTAAAACTGCGTCCCAAAGGGTTTTTATGGCTGATTTTTCAGAAGTAGATAATCAGAACTTTCTCCCAAAGGCACCTCTAAGTGAACTTGAATCTCCAACTTTTTTATTTACATCCAAACATGTTCCTCTATTTAAACACACACATTTATATATGGTTGTTGTTGTTAATATATATGGAGTCCTGGTATGGCACTGTGGGTTAATGCAATGAACTGCAAGATCGGTTTGAACCACAAGGTTGGTGGTTCAAGCTCACTAGCCATTTCTCAGAAACCTTATACAGGGTCACTATGAGTTGGAACCGACTTGACGGCACTTAACAACAACAAATATATATATATATGGAGTCCTGTGGTGCTGTAGGGTAAGCACTGGACTACTAACCTCTAGATCAATAGTTTAGACTCACCAGCCATGTCCTGGAAACCCTATGCAGGGTTACTATGAGTAGGAACAACTTGATGGCACTTAACAACAAATGGGTTCTGACTCATAACAACCCTGTATAGGTTTTCTCAGGCTGTGAATCTCTGTGGGATCAGACAGCCTCATCTTTCTCCTGCAGAGTGACTAGTGGGCTGGAACCACCCACCTTGTGTTTCACAGTCTAGTGTTTATCCTACAGAACCACCACGCTTCCCATCTGTGTGTGAGTGTGTGTATATATACATATGCACTAGTGATAAGAGAATGACAAAATGTTTGGGAAATTTGAATGCTGGCCCCCTAATGGCTGAGTGATTTTTGGTTCACACAAAGTACATCAAGGATCTCAACTCACGCAGAAGCAAAAGTACAAACGGCTTTATCAGGGACTTAAACATTAAACCCAGGAATACCAAGGATCTGGTAGATTATAGCTCTCCTCAACTCCCCTTCACCAGCAAGCCATCCTCCACCGTCTTCAACTTCACAGGCTCTCCCCACCCTGGTCCTCTCCTCTGGGAAAGCCCGTGGCCAATGCAGCTTCTTGTAGCTCTGCTGCTACCTCCCTCCTCTCACTTGCTGGTTCCCAGTATCTAATGTCGATCCTACAGTGCCGCACCAGGAGTCCCTTCTCTCACTATGCCACCCTAAGTTCACCCCTGGCCAAAACTATGACTCCCCGGCCTCTTTCTCTCTGATTGCTCTCAAGCCTGTTCTTGTTTATGCAGTTGAATTGGCTCCCTAAGTGCTATGTATTCACTCATACGTTTTTTATTCAACTCATATTTGAATAAACAATATGAATAGCCATCTAAGGTGCAACTAATAGTCTCTTCCTGTGTGGTGGAAAGAAGAGTATGAGAATTGGAAATGATTAGAAATAACTAGCCCATGTGAACATCAGTCTCTACAACCCAGAGACCAGAAGAACTAGATGGTGCCACATTACCACTCACAACTTCTCTGAAAGGAATCACATTAGAAGGTCCTGGAGAGAGTGGGAGGAAATGTGCAACAGAACTCAAAATTATGAAAAAAAAAACAAATAAAAAAAAACCCACCACCGGATTTACTACTCAGAAAGAAACAGGAAGAACTCAAGACTATGTCACTTTTCAGGTCTGGGACTGAACTTACCCTCATGGCTCAACTTTCAGTCAAACAATAGATAGGTATATAGGGAGACAGCACTGCACACAGTGTAGAACAGCCAATCATTCAAGATTAAAAGGGCAACATTTACCTAAGGACAAAGTTCGGAATGGTTGAGAGGAAGGAAGGAAACAGGAGTCACAGGGAGGAATGGGTCACATTGCTTTGGGGGAATTGCAGTCATTGAGGTGAATTAAAGTATATGATTTGTTGAGTGTGGGGCTGATGATCTGCTCTGTAAACTTTCACTCAATTCACAATAAAACACTAAAAAATATATGGATAAGCAAGTGAACATTTGCTGAAGATAGTTCAAAAGTAGTTGCAGCTCTGGAGACTTTAGATCCAGAGAGGGAGAGCGACTGTGTGCTGAAGACCTGGGGGGTACGGGGGAAGTGTTGCATGGAGGGGATTGTAACCATGGCAATGAAACGATATATGAATGAATGTAAAACTAATGTTCTCCCATGTAAACTATCACATAATTCACAATAAAACATTTAAGGAAAAAAAAAAAAGTAGTTGCAGCAGAATGCCAACAAGGAACAGCCAGAAATTCATGGATTCAGAAGATCACATGGAATGAGGAATATTATTGCTGATATCAGCTGGACTGGGGCTGAAAGAAAAGAATATCAGAAAGATATTTACCTATGCTTTATTGACTGTGCAAAGACATGTGACTGTGTGGATCACAACAAATTATGTATAACATTGTAAAGAATGGGAGTTCCAGAACACTTCATTGTGTTCATGAGGAACCTGTATGTAGACCAAGAGGCAGCTGTTCAAACACACAAGGGGGTATTGTATGGTTTAAAATCAGGAAAGATATGTTTCAGGGTTGTGTCCTTTCATCAGACTTTTTCAAAATATGCTGAGCAAATAATTGGAGAAGCAGGACTATATGAAGAACTTGGTTAATTAATAACCTGTGATACGTAGATGACATAACTTTGCTTGCTGAAAGCAAACAGGACTTGAAGCACTTACTGATAAGAAGATCAAAGACTACAGACTTTGATATAGATTACATCTCTGTATAAAGAAAACAAAAATCCTCACTACTGGACCAATAAACAACATTATTA